ACAGCCCCCAGCACCTGCTGCTGCCCACTGAGCCCAACTTGGGTGCTCCCTAGACAGGTCAACTCTCTACTGCCTTCCCTGTGTTGTGCCCACCCTCGGGCCATGAGGGGATGATGTGTTCTGGTCCCCAGGGTGAATCTTGCCAGATTTCAGAGGATACCTTCTCTCTAGGGCTCAGGCTGTCCTGTGCCTTGTCAGGGCACCATCCCCACTGGCCACCGAGATGGCCCCCTGTGCTCAGCCTTCTCATCTGCTGCTTTCCTCTGTGGGCAGGAGTTGGGTGGAAGAGTTTTTGTCTGTCCCACCCTCCCACCCCCACAAAGCCCCTGCGAATAAGTGAGTTGGTTGAGGACCCCAGAAATGCCTCTCATTCCCCGCCCAGGTAGGGGGTAGAGAAGCAGCTGAGAGAGAAAGCCTGCGAGGGTGGGTCAGTGAGAACCGCAAGTGATGTGGGCACTGGAAGGGGTTGCAGCCTTGGGCTGTGACAACAGAGGTAGCAATCCCAGAACAGAGGAAGGGACTTCTCCCACTCTGTGACGGCCAAGTCCCAGAACAGAGGAGGGGACTTCTCCTACTTTGTGATGGCCACGCCACGCCAGAGCTTTACTTCTGTCTCTTCCACTCCCCCTATGCCCAGCTAGAGAGCAGGACCCACTGGAGGAGATTCAGAGATGGACACTGAGGACTGTGGGTGAGGGAGGTGGGCCTGAAATACATGCCCTGCTCAGGCAACTGGAGGAACAGGAGGGCCACAGAGGTCAGTCAGTATAAAGGAGATGGCCAGAACTATCTAAGGATGGATGGAGTGACAAATGTACCTGTCCACCCATCAGTCTAGTCTGTCCATCCATGTGGGTGTCCATGTAGCTGTCCATCTGTAAGCCAAACTCTGCCCATCCATCCATCCATCAATCCATCCATCCATCCATCTGTCCATCCATCCATCCATCCGTCTGTCCATCCATCCATCCTTCCATCCATCCATCCGTCCATCCATCCATCCGTCCGTTCATCCATCCATCTGTCCATCCATCCATCCATTCATCCATCCATCCATCTGTCCATCCATCCATCTGTCCATCCATCCATCCATCCTTCCATCCATCCATCCGTCTGTCCGTCCGTCCATCCGTCCGTCCATCCATCCATCCGTCCATCCATCCATCCATCCATCTGTCCACCCATCCATCCATATGTCCATCCATCCATCCATCCATCCTTCCATCCATCCATCCGTCTGTCCGTTCGTCCGTCCGTCCATCCATCCATCCATCCGTCCATCCATCTGTCCATTCATCCATCTGTCCATCTATCCATTCATCCATCTATCCATCCATCCATCCATCCGTCCCTCCATCCACCCGTCCATCCATCCATTCATTTGTGCATCCATCTGTCTGCTGAGAGGGAGGGGACCAATGGATCAGTGTGCACCTCAGGATACTGCCACGGGGTGTATAAAATGTCCTCTGTAATTGTAATAATTGTCCATCATTTTAAAATTGATTTGTGTAGCCTCAGGCGATGTCTCTGAGCATCAGTGTTCCCAGCTGTGGAAAGAACAGCCAGGTCCAGGTGAACACACAGACGGACACGCTCATGGCCAGACCTTCTGTGCAAAAGGGTGCCATGCTCCAGCATGGACCCTGCCTCCAAGCCAGGGGCGCCCACCTTGTTGGAGAGACCAGACACTCAGGCCATCCCCCAGCAGGTGGAGGCTCCTGGACACACCTTTCCTGGGAGGAAGAAGCCTTAGCCTTCCTCCTCTGCCGGGGTGGGAGGGAGAGGGGAGGGCTGACAGCTTCCTGTACACCCCCAAGCCCCGGTAGTCGGGAGCTGCAGAAATAAATGAAGCTGTACAGTTGGAGTAATTTGCTAATTTGCTTAAGTAACACCCCCAGTCAGAGACATGACATAAATACATCAGGGCGGGCTCCGGCCCCCCCAGCTTGGGCGGCTCTCAGAGCAGGATGGATGGGTGATGTGAAGTGGAAACGTGGATGAATCAGAGCCTGACAGCAGTCGGGGGTGGCCACCTACTCCCCCCACTGGGGGGACTCCCGCTGCCTCTCCACTGCAGCATGTTCGGGGAGGGGCTCTCTGAGGGGTCTGTGGTTTCTCTGTGGCCTTGGAGGAGTCTGACTTGCTGACCCTCCTCACGCAGCTGGGGCACTGCCGTTGCCAAGGGTTTCTCTGCACCAGGTTGCACTGTGGTGCTGTTGGTGGCTTCGCTGACTCCTGCTGGGGCCTGCTGGGGACACACCTGCTGCCGTGTTCCTCCAGCCCTCCTGTCAGGGGAGCAAGAAGACTGCTCAGTACCTGGTGGGTGGGCTGGGGGAGGTGCAGAGGGGGAGCTGCATCTCTGTGGCCTGATTGGTCCCCCCCAGCTGAGGCCTGGGTCTGCTCCCTTCATGTCTCCAGGGGCTGTGGCAAGGCCAGAAAACCAAAACCCTTACTAGGAGTGGGTAGCACTTAAAATGAGTGAGATGGACTGGGCGTAAGACAGTAGGGACAGGTGGGGCCTTGGGCAAACTGGATGTTTCCATCCTGTCTAAGAGGACACAGACACTCAGCACTCCTGACTGGACCAGGATTGCCACATGTTAAGTTTTATTTATTTATTTTTAGAAAATAGAAATAACGAAGGGTTCTTAGGGATCTCTCAAATCTTTAATGCTGGCAACAAATTCAAATTTATCTTGGGCGAGTCTGGCCTATACACTTCTAGTATTCAAACTGCAGCTCAGGGAAGCTGACTTTTTTTTTTTTTTTTAACATAAATAGGTTTTTTTTTGGTTTTTTTTTTTTTTTTTTGCAGTTTTTCGCCGGGTCTAGGTTTGACCCCTCCACCTCCGGCATATGGGGCCGACACCCTATTCCTTTGAGCCACAGGCGCCACCCTTAACATAAAAAGCTTTATACATTTCCATTCTTTATCTTTTGTAATCTCAGAACAGTCTTTCAAGGTAGGTGCTAGGGGTTTTAATTTTGCAGGTGAGGAAACTGAGGCACACTCAGTGCTCTACGAGGTACAGCTAGTTAGCAGCAGAACTGGGCCTGAGAACCCATGGCCGACCATCTCCCCAAGGCCTCCTGGAGCTGATAAATTCCACAGAGGAGAGAAGACCATTCGCTCAAACGTGTAGAGAAGCCTGGGGTGACTGGTGGGTCAGTGATGAGTAGACTGGTCTTTTGCCTGTTTTGCAGGAAACCTACTTCTCTGGCCCACTGGAGGGAGCCAGTCTGGGAATTGACCATTGCTGTGATCATAGGGCATGTGACTGGACACACCAGGCCAGTCTCTCCTGGGGAGTGGTGTGGAGGAGTTTATTACTGGGTTCTGGACTCTTCTGTTTCACATAACAATGGTGGTTGTTACAGTTACAACGCGTCATTTTATTGTATCCCATGGCCATTAACCTCACCCTGCCCTTCCCTGGAGCTTAACTGATGGGCTGGGGGCCGAGCTCCCTCCTAGAATACCCACTGGGGACAGAGCCTGGGCGTCTTCTGAATCTGCTCCCCTATTGTGCACATCCGTTTCCAATAGGACAAACAATCCTTGGTATTTGGAGCGAAGGCATTTCTGGAATCTGTTTCATGTCATGATCAAGGACGGGAAAGGCTCTGCTGTTCCTAGACTGTTAGGTCACCCTGGGAGACAGACTGTGGTGCCCTGGGAGGATGAGCAGTGAGGGGAGTCCCAAGGAAAGGGCTCACCCACCTGATCAGAGGGGAAACTGAGGCTCCAAGAGATTTAGGGACTTACCCGGGTGAGAGCTGACGGGACTGGGTTTGAACCCAGGTCAGCTGGCTCTGCGGTCAGGGGTCTTGCCTTGTGTGTGACTTGGTGGAGGTTGTGGTCACCCAGGAACAGACAGCGTGGAGTTTGTCAGCTGCAGTGACATCTTTGTGAAATGATCTGGAATGTCACCATCTTCCTGTCTGGGAACCATCTCCCCAAGGCCCCTGTGCTTCGCTGGTTACTTTACCTGCCCCTTACTGACCCAGCAGGGCACTCCCCACCCTGGAGGGGCTGGGAAAAAGGCTTGGGCCCTGAGTACACATTGGACATTTCACTTTTTACCAAATCAGGGCTGGCAAGTACCATCACAACTCTCTCTAGGCCATGGAAGCCCAGCAGCTGAGGCTGGTGGGAGGTGGGGCTTCATGGGGCTGAGCCAGGGCTCAGGCTGGCTCTAGGATGGGTCAAGGGCAGGGGCAGGGATGGGTGGCATTTACTGAGGCCCATGACTGTGGCAACCTTGAGCTTGCTCAGGGCCCGCCTGCTGGGTAGGGCCCTGCAGGCAGCTGTCCACAAACTAGCCATGGCCACCAGGGCTCCTGGCAGGCAGTGCACACCTGCTTAGGGCATCTGCAGAGAAGATCCCAGAGAGAGTGAAGATTGCCCTGGACTTTGCACACAGCAAAGCTAGAGCAAGACTGTTGTTAGTTCAGTGCATGGCACGCATAGCCGTTTATGTTTTGATTCCATTTAGAGTTTGTTTTCACTTTAAATTCCATGCTGTGGGGGCGGGAACTGTAATTTTTCCCAAGTGTAGGGTCTCCAAAGGTTTAAAGTGGGCTCTGCAAAGAACGTGGTATTCCTTTTGGAATGTAGAGGCTAAAAGCCTAAGACACCCAGATGAGGGGGCCTGGGACCATTAGGCCGGTGACAGCTGGGACTGGGGGTTCAGAGAAGGTTGCCTTCCAGTAGAAAACTGGCCCAGACAGAAGAAATGGAGGCAGAGGCGTGCTGAGGGTAAGGCCACACACCCTGCAGCTTAGCAGCCTGGGGGAGCCTGTCCAGCCCCCCTGATGAGTCTCAGGGGCCAACAGCCAGCAGAGGCTGGGGCCGCTGCTCTCTCCTCTGATCTAAGGGCACTGGTCGGGGGTGCCAGCAGCACGGACACCCCTACTCACTCAGCAATTCAAGTAGGTCCAGCCTGCCCACCTCCCTCAACTCCCTTGCTCTCTGTGTCTCTGTTCTGCCCCTGCAGGCAGCCTGCCCTACGAGTATAAGATCGTGATCGCTGGCAACCACGAGCTGACCTTTGACCAGGAGTTCATGGCCGACCTCATCAAGCAGGATTTTTACTACTTCCCATCCGTGTCGAAGCTGAAGCCGGAGAACTATGAGAATGTGCAGTCGCTGCTGACCAACTGCATCTACCTGCAGGACTCCGAGGTCACCGTGCGGGGCTTCAGGATCTACGGCTCCCCCTGGTGAGTGGCCGGGGCAGAGTGCAGAGGTTCGAGAATCAGCAGGGGGATGGCAAGGCTCAGGACCCAATGGACTCTCTGTATTCTGAATAGGAACACGAGCCCTCTCTCAGTTATAAGGTTACAAATAAGTTTTTCTCCTCTGTGACCTGCTTTTCCCCTCTTTTTAGTAGAGCCTTCATATGAACCCGAGTTTTACATTTGGTGTAGTCTAGCTCTCTGGGAGGCTGAGTTGGGTGGATCACTTGAGCTCAGAAGTTAAAGACCAACATGAGCAGGAGTGAGACCCCGTCTCGACTAAAAGTAGCCAGGTGTTGTGGCGGGTGCCTATGGTCCCAGCTACTTGGGAGGCTGAGGCAGGAGGATTGCTTGAGTCCAAAAATTTGAGGTTTCTGTGAGCTATGATGCCATGGCATTCTACCAAGGGTGATAGGGTGAGACTCTGTCTCAAAAAAAAAATGGTTTTTTCTTGTATAATCAAATGTCTTGGTGATTTTCTTCATGGTAACTGTTTTTGGTGCCTTGTTGAGGAAATCTTTCCTTGTCCAAAGCCGTGAAGATTTGTTTCTATAATATCATCCAGAACTTTTGCCATTTTGCCCCTTATGTTTGGGTGTTGGATCCACCGTAAATGATTGTATTGATGGTGTGAGGTAGGGATCACGTTTTGGGTTGTCCCTCATGGACACAGTGTGCAGAAAGCCCGTCCTCCCCTCTGCTACGAATTGCCACCCTTATCCTGCCCTTGACCTCTGAATGTGGCTCTCGCTCCTGCTCCACTGGTCCATTCACAGCAGGACCACACTGTCTTCATTATTCCAGCAACTGGTTTCTTTAATGTCTCTTTTTCCTGCTAGGATATTTGAGGCTCCATGAGGGAAGGGACTTTAATCTCTGTCTTGTGTAGGCCCAACTCCAGTGCCCAGAACAGTGACTAGTGCATCATAAATATGTGTTGAAGGAATGAAAATGAATGTATGAATGGATAGAGGGATGGGTGCAGGCCACGGGGACCCAGTTAAAGGTAGGCCTGGCCTGCCTGTCTTTCCGTGGCCTCCTCTCACGCCTGCCACCACTGTCTGCCTCCTCGTTCCTTCCTCCTCCTCCTCGCTGCCATCCCTAAAGCAAGATCTGACTGAGCGCTCTCCTGGCCTGCCACACTGCCACTGCTATGCCATCCCTGTCACCCCCAAGTTGAAGCCCCCCATCCTACTCTCTGCCTTCCCCCACAGGGGCTTCCTTCCTGCAGCCCCTAGGCTGGTTGGCAGAGAAAGGCTGAGAGTCTCACCGGGGCTGAGAGGCTCCTGAGGGCTGTGTGTCTGTGCTGCCCCCTTCCAGGACACTGTGACTTTGTGTCCGCTCAGGTGCAGACTCGGCGTTGGGCCTTCCGGGAGCAGCTTAGAGGAAGAGGGTGGGAACCAACTGCAGAAGAAGAGGAAGAACTCAGCTGTTAACAAAATCCTAAGTGTTAAAAAAAAATTCCGTATACATACCGTATTCATTTATGGGCTTTGGATGCATTTTTTGTTCTCATTTAACTGAAAACGGCCTTGATTTAAAAAAAAAAAAAAGGAGTGAGGGAGAGAGTGAGATTGGCACGCGGCGAGTCCATCTGGTCTAATTACTTCTGGTATTTTGAAAGGAGGAATCGAAACCTGCTGAGACATTAAACTTTGAGAAGTGGCTGCCGGGCAGGCGTTGCTGGGTATCTGGGCACCGATCCTGATTCTCAGCTTGGAAGTCTGGCTCGCCCCCTGGGCAGGTCAGGCCCTCAGGGTCCCGAGCAGGCATCCGGGATGCCTGCCCCTCTGCAGGAGCCAGCAGCCTTGGGTCACGCCCCAGGTAGCAGGGGCTGTGCAAGGCCACCCTGGAGTGACATCCTGCGTGTGGCTCCTGGTCTTTAATTGTGGTGAGAACTGTGGTTTTCTGTGAAACAGCAATAAGGATAAGTCTCCTCATGGTATTTTTCCTCAGGATTCAGGGAGGGCGTGTGTACCTTCCTGGGCACCTGGAGGCCCCACGTGCCAGATGCTAAGGACCACCCAGGTCAGGGACGGGCAGTAACAGTGGTCTATGTGCAGCACCCAGCTGTGGGCCAGAGCTGCCCAGGGAGGTGCAGGTTGGGCTGCTGGGCTCTGCCCCTTCGTTCCCTGCCCTTTGCGCCCCAGGAGGCTTGCTGGGTGGGTGGGGCCAGAACCGAGAAGCCTAGGAGCTTTAAATCTGTGCCCTGAGAAGCTTGAGGCCTATGCGCTGATGTGATCTTAGTGATAGTAACTGTCCCCTGCTGACCTGGGGTCTGTGCCTTGCTGCTCAGGCCTGAGAACAGCTAATGAGGCCCAGACTCTAGGGTCTCACTCTGTCACCCCAGCTAGAGTGTAGTGGCATCATAGCTCACAGCAACCTCAAACCCGTAGGCTCAAAGCAATCCTCTTGCTTCAGCCTTCTGAGCAGTTGGACCTACAGGTGCCTGCCACACCCCCTGACTAATTTTTTTATTTTTAGTAGAGATGGGATCTCGTTCTTGCTCAGGCTGGTCTCAAATTCTTGAGCTCAAGGGATCTTCTGGCCTCGGCCTCCCAGAGTGCTGGATTTACAGGCCTGAGCCACTGCGCCCGACCAGGCCCAGACTCTTGATCTCATTTTGTAGCCGAGGCTGTGAGATCCAAGACAGGAAGTGACTTCAGGAAGGTCCCACAGGAATCAGGAGGCCAAACTAGGCCTGGATGGGTAGAAGGATGGAGGCCCTGCCCAGACTGCACCCCAAACTGCTAACATTTTTCTTCTTAAACTTTATAAATATATTTTTAGAGAAAATAGACACAGGATATTGTTATGCATTGTTATAATATTGTTATGCTGATATCTCAGCAGAATGAGGCTGAGGTTCCGGAGTGGAGCGCAGGTGGCTGGGTTTCTGGCCGGCCCTGAGGCAGCCCCTGCTGTCCCGGCTGTCACTGGCCGTGGTGGCCACAGACACATGCTATTGTGTGACAATGTACAGGTTGGCTCTGCCCATCTTGGCCCCTACTTTGAGGCCATCTTGCACTTGGGCTTGAAGGCCGCCCAGAAACACCACCCTTTTCAGCGCCCCAGGCCCTCAGGCACATCTCCTCGCTCTGCGCAAGGCATGGGCCGGCCTAGGACTCAGAGCCAAGCATCTGACATGAGATCCTTGCTCTTCGTCTTAATAAACATTTTTAGTCTTTAAAAAATTTAATTTTTAAACCCCATCTGGTAACTCTGAGATGTTTGGGATATTATAATTTTGGATTGTGCATTCATGTTAATCATGGTTCTCTCTTAGGGGGCCCTGGGCAGCCTGGTTTCAGGGTACCTCTCAGAGAGGTCTGCGTCAGCCTCTGCGTGTGGGTACACCCAGCAGGGCCACTTCACTTGCATTTCTTGGTTTAGGGCTCCTGGCTCACACAGCTCCTGGCCAGAGGCCTGTGTGTGTGTGAGGGGTAGGGTGGGGGAATCCTCCACCCGTTCTCCCTGGCCCAGGGTCCTGTCTCCCAGCAAGTTAGTGGGTGCCCTTTTCCGGTCTACTCGTTTCCTGAGTCCTTCTGGGAGCCCAGCTTAGAGGGGTGGGTCCCAAGTCCTTCTCCCCCTGCAACCAGCTGAGCCCTCCTCTCTCAAAGCCTCACAACCATGAAGGCCTGTGGTCCCCACCCCGTTCCAGAAGCCAGCAGCCCTACATATCTAGAGCAGTGTTGGGGATGTGTTGTCTTGTGTTTCAAGGGGGCTTCAGCATGAGGTGTGACCTTCCCCGGTGTGTCCAGGCAGGTGGGGAGAGTCTTTCCCACCCCGTCAGTGCCTGAGACCCTGCACCCAACAGACTCGCCATGAGCTGCTGCCATTTACTCTGCCAGCAACAGCGCAAGGCAGGGTTGTTCCATTCCCATTTTATAGACAGGCCACGTGAGGCCCGAGGAGGTCTAGTGACAGGCTGAGATCGGCCCTAGGAAGATGTGGCACTGGGTTCCAGCCCAGGTATCAGGCCTGGTCACTCTCAGGCACCAGCCTTCCCCTGCCTGGCCCTCTAGTGGCCCCTTTGTAGCTCGTTTTGGGCTGCAGAACCCAGAATAGGGCTGGACTTCCGGCTCACAGATTCCTGTCCCCTTCCATGACGTATGCTTGAGCCTGGGACAGGTTTCCTCATTCCCTGTCTTGAGCCCAGAGAGAGGAACTGCCTGCTGGGGGTAGCCGTCACTCCTGTCGCCCAAGGCGTACTGTGAACCCTGCTCCAAGCCTCCCCAGGACAAGGGGGTGATCCTGTGATGGCCACAGCAGGAGCTTTGGAGCCAGTCTGCACATGGAGTGGGTTGGGCTGCCCCAGGGGACCCAGCAGTGTCCACCATATGTGGTCCCAGGGTAGCTCATTCCTGTCCCTTTCTCCACTGGGTTCTTAGAATCCCCAGCCCAACACAGAAGCAAGTGACAAATTTTGATGCAGAGAAAGAAGTTCCTCACCATGGAGGCCCCCTGCTGTGCTGCCTGCACACACACTCACATGCACACATGCACCACACACATGCACACGCACTCACACATGCACACTCACATGCACACTAACACACATTCACACTCATACACGTAAACATGTGGACATGTACACTTACTTATATTCACATACACACACATACACACATGTACATATACACACGCACACATACACACATGTACATATACACACATACACGTACACACATGCACATATACACATACATATGGACATGTACACATGCACATATACACACACATACACACACATGCACACATACACACACATGCACATACACACATACACATATACACACGCACACATACACACATGCACATATACACACACACATATACACATGCACATGTACACACATGCACATATACACATACACATGGACATGTACACACATGCACATATACACACACATACACATATACACATGCACACGTACACACATACACACACATGCACATGTACACACATACACACACATACACAT